TGGCCCAGAGATCCCACAATTCTGACTGCTAGATGTCATTATGTGCCATTTTATTTATTTCTTAAAAAAATATTTTACTTATTTACTCTTAGAGAGAGAGGAAGGGAGAAACAGAGGGAGAGAAACGCTGATACATTGCCTCTCACACGCCAACTGTGGACTTGGCCCAGAACAATTGGTTTGAATTGGTTTGGACTTGTCAGTGTTCTATCCCACTGAGCCACGCCTGCCAGGACTATGTGTCATTTTAGATGCAAGATTTCATTGTCTGTCTTGGGAAAGAGAAGTATGCTTGGAAAGAACCAGTGTAGGTCAGCATCTAATCTTTGGGGGCTCTTTATAATTTAATTTGATCTTTGGAACCAATGAGAAACTGAGGCTGAGCAAGAGTAAGCTCACTTAAAATCATGTGCAGCTAGGAAAAGGAAAGCCAGGATCCCACTCTCATTTCTTTCCCCTCATCCCTGGTCTCCACCTTTCTTGAGGTTATAAGGAGATTCCTCAGATTCCTCTAATAACCATTTACTCTGTAATTTTTCTCTGGAGTAGGAACTTCCCTTTCATCTGTGGAATAAGTCCCTTGAAACTAATCCCGAGTTTTTGTAACTCCATCACTCACTATGAAAGTAGGTTGGCACTAGCTTGTTCTGCCCAAGACTGTGTTTTGCTTGAACAAATATGGACTCAGTACCTATTATGTACCAGGCACAGGTCTACAGTTTTAAGAAACAATGTTGAATGAAACATATGGAAATTATTTCTTTTGAAAGCTACAGGTATTGAACAAGCAAACATAATTTCAGGTAGTATCAATGCTAAGGAAAAGATGTAGTTGGGTCCGTGTCTAGAAGAAGGGGGTGAAGACTACTTTAGGCAGGATAATCTAGGAGGTAGTTCTTGAACCACAACCCACATGGTGTAGCATATCTGCCTTTCCAGTCTCCTAGGGAAACACATTTTGGGAAGAGGTAACAGCCAGTGGAAAATCCTGGAGGCAGGAGACAGCTGACCACGTTGAGTGACAGGCAGGTATGCAGAGGTGATGTTTAAGCAGTGAGCACAGACCGACCACACAGGACCTTATAGACCCTGCTAAAGATTTTCAGTTTCATTCAAAATCTGGTGAGAAGTTGGAGTGGGAAGACTGGCATGATCTGGTTTAGCTGCAAGGAAGGATCTCTCAGGCTGCTCTGCAGGGAGAAACCCCTGTGGAGGGCACAGGGCAGTGTAGCAAGCCCAGAAGTAGGGGACTTGGGAAGAGGCCTTGGTGGTGATTCAGGGGGGAAATCATTGGGGTTGGCTTCTTGCTTTAGTCATAGATATGGTAAGAATTGATCGAGTTTATAATATAATTCTAACACGGCAAAGACAGGGACTTGTTGAATGGATAATAGAAGGGGTATCAGAGAAAAGAGGAATCAAGGAAGATGCCTAGACTTTTGGACTAAGTAACTGGGTGAAGGGTGTACCCATTTTATTAATTAGATGGAAAAGTCTTTGAGAAAAGTGGATTTAGGAAGGAGCTTACGAGTTCCAGTTTGTAGATGTTTGGTACCTGGAGTTAGTAGTTGAATAAACCAGTCTACAGTTTACAGACTTTGAATCTGAAAAATGACACATTTGGGAGTCATCAGGGTAGGGAGGTGAAGGAAGCTAAAGACTGAGCCCCAGGGTTGTGGGGAGCATCCTTCACTTCCATCTGTTTGGGACCTTCTGGGGCTGTGCCAACCTGAGCAGTGGCTCTGCTGTGGGCCCAGCCACCTAGGAGACCAGGACTCCCGAGCTCCCTCACGAGTCCCCAGTCTGCAGGCTGAGCAGAAAGGGTAACCTTGTTTTTTTTTTGTCTAAATCATTAACTCCTTGTCCTCTCATGCTTCTGAACATCACTATGGTTTGCTTCACTGGAAAGAAGTCAACTTTCATCTCTGTAGGTTCCCAGAGGCTCTGCGTGTCTGTGCCAGGAGCAGTGTCCTGGCTGTCCCCATCTTTGGGGGCCCTGGCAGCATCTGTCCTCAGTTTACTGTGTGTGTCCCAGGGCTGGGCAGGAAACACTGAGTGGGAATGCAGCAGAGGAAGTCAGGTGCCCGTTTTTAACTTCTGAGGAAGCTGCCCTGTTCGTAGTGTTGTTTAGTGCGTGATACCTGTGAGGTGTCTGCTTATGGTCAAGTAGTTAACTGAATCGACTCTGTGAGGACTGGGGAGGTCTCACAAACCAGGGCTCCCATCCAAAGTGACCTACCTGGCTTTGGTGCCATCCCTGTATCCAGGCTGGGCAGTGTCTACTTTTCCAGTCCCGGCTGGCGTGTGGTCAACCCCTGCCAGGTTTAAAGAAGAGAGGCAGTGGGGACAGAAGATTCTCAGGACAGGTGGGGTTATGTTATGTTCTTGCAGTCCACATAAATTGAATATATGTATTTAAATACACAAGCGCTGATGGTGAATGTGTTTATAGAACAACACAGAGTAGAATGCCTGAGGTGTACTGAGTCATAGTGGCTTACTGTGTAGACTGAGAGTGTGAGGCGCGTAGTGCTGGCCATGGGAGACATGTCAGGCGGGCAAATGCAGAGCTTTCGGAAAGAGCTTTCAGAGGTAGATTGGTTTACTGGTAGATTGGTTTGAATTTGGGAGATGTCTGCTTTCACGGAACTTGCCCTTCTTAACAGAAAATAAATCAGTAGCTAGGCACTAAATCTGTTCTATTTTATAAGCACTTCCTTTGGAAAACATAAGTTAAATTGATCTCTCAAAGGAAGGTGAGAAGTCTCACACTGGGGAAGAGGGTCCCCAGAGCAAGAACAGCAGGTACAGAAGCCCTAAGATGGGGTGGGGCAGGGACCTGGTGGCTGGATCTGAGGGAGTGAGAGGGAGTCAAAGGAAGGAGGTTAGGGAAATAATGAGGGTTTAGATCTTGTGCAGTCTGGAGGTCATGGTAAAGATTGTTTCACTTTTTATGAAATAGAAAAGCATTCATGGATACAACTGAGTTAGAATTCAGTTCACCTATACTTTGAAAAGATTGCCCTCTTGCTCTATTAGAAGTTGATGATAGGTGAGAAAAGTTGGAAGTAACTGGTGAGAGGTTGTGTTGGTTTGACCCAGAGGGTGGTGGTGGAGGTACTGGTAGATACTGGATTCTGTTTATATTTAAAATGATTTACTGGTAGATTGGGTGTGTGGTATGAGACAGACCCCTAAGTTTTGAGCCTGAAGACAGAATTATGAAGCTCCCCTTAAATGAGATGAAGGAAATTCTAGGACAGTCAAGTTGGAGGAAAGAGGAAGAATTCAGTTCTGGATGTAAAGTTTACAGTATGTGTTTTTCACCCACATGGAGACAAGCAAAGGAGGCAGTAGGGTGATCCAGGCTGAGATCTATCTGATCTCCCTCTCCCGTCCCTGATATCTCTTTGCTCAGATCTACGTTTCCCTCTCCTTTCCCTGACCTCACTCCCTAGACTACAGTAAACTAGAATGAATTCTGAGGTTATGAGATAGGCCTCTTCCCCCAGAATTGGCCAGGGAATGAAAGCGAACTGATTAGAATAGACTATGAGCTGCTAGGCTAGATGTGACTAGAGGATGAGGTTGGTAGCTAGGCCTCTTCTTCCAGAGCCGGCTGGGAGCCAAGACCAACTGTGTCATAAAAAAATAAGATGCCCTCCACGGTGACATACAACACCATAGTAAGTCAACCAAAAATAGCAATTTCATTTAGATTTTCTTCATACATTGTCTTTACAATGTCCTCAGTCTTCTTCCATGGAAAGGTAAATATGAATGAAGCCCACCTAATATACAAGAGTTCACAGATCTTTAGACTCCAGCAGTCAATCCCATGATTTCACACACACAACAGGAATGAAGAACAGCAGCTTCAACTGATATGAGACTGGAATCATGTTCAAATTCCTCCTCAATATATTTCAAATACTGTCAATGTACAATAATTTATATTCTAAGTAATTATACAAATCCAGATATCCATACTCTTGACATTGGAAGCATACTGAAGTAATGATCTATGTTCTGAAATTTTGGATGATTCTCTATAGTAAGTATTGTAATTTACAGCAATACCTGAAAACTATTACTAACTTCCTACTATGAATTCACTGTTATTTTGAAATTGTTTCAATTACATTCCTTACTAAATTTTTTACATTTCAAAGACAGTTTCAGGAAAAAATTCTTTGGGCTTTGTGAACTGTATATTTTGGACAAAAGTCAATTATTCTTTACTATGAACATAGAATTCAACCCCAGTTGTGCATTCCCTGATACACAATATGGCTATAGGTCCAGCTATACTATTTTCTATAATCTTTTTTAAGGTTTTTCACTAGTATGAATTCTCACATGTCAAACAATCTGTGAATGTTGAAAAATCAGCTTTCAACATTCTTTTCATTAGTATAGTTTCTCTTTGGAATGAATTCTAAGGTTGAAAAAGTTTTGCGAATGGGTAGAGCTTTGCCATGCTTTTATCTTTGCTAGGCTCTCTCCAGTATAAATTACCCAATATAGAGAGAGGTATGAATTAGGATTAAAAACTTTACCAAATTCATTACATTTTTAATTTTTTAAGAGATATTACATTTTTAATGCTTCTCCAATACATATTCCTTGATGTTAAATGAGGTTCGAAAATGGTGAGTTATTGTTAAATTCTTCAAATTTTTTTGTTCTCCTCCAGCATGAATTCTCCAATGTTGAGTAAGTTTTCAGCACAGAATAAAAACTATGCCGCACTCTATATTTGTACAGTTTTTCTCAAAAATGAATGCTGTCATGTTGGGTAACATACCACTGATGATTAAAAGATTTGGCACATATACTACATTTATATTGTTTCCCTACAGTATGAATGAAATGATGTGGAATAAGTTGTGAGTAATAATTAAGGGCTTTGCCACATTTACATAACTTATGTCAAGTATGATTATTTGGATGACGAGTAATGGTTGAGGACTGTTTAAAGGCTTTGCCATATTCCCTACATGCACATGACTTCTTTCTATGAATTCTCAGAGGTTTAGTAAGGGTAAAGGAGTGGATGAAGGCTTTACCACATTCTCTACATATAAAAGGCTTTTTCACCAATATGAATTCTATGATGTTGAGTAAGGGCCGAGGACTGCCTAAAGGTTTTGCCACATTCTCTACATTTTATAAAACTTCTCTCCAGTGTGAATTTTCTGATGTTTAGTAAAAGATGAGGAGTACCTAAAGGCTTTCCCACATTCTCTACATATATAAGGCTTTTCACCAGTATGAATTCTCTGATGTTGAGTAAGGTTTGAGGACTCCCTAAAGGCTTTGCCACATTCTGTGCATTTATAAGGCTTCTCTCCAGTATGAATTTTCTGATGATTAGTAAGCTTTGAGGACTGACTAAAGGCTTTACCACATTCTCTACATATATAAGGCTGTTCCCCCGTATGAATTTTCTGATGTTCATTGAAATTTGAGAACTGGTTAAAGGCTTTCCCACATTCTCTACATTTATAAGGCTTCTCTCCAGTATGAATAGGCTGATGTCGATTAAGGGCCGAGGAACATCTAAAAGCTTTGCCACATTCTGTACATTTATAAGGCTTCTCTCCAGTATGAACTTTCTGATGATTAGTAAGCTTTGAGGACTGGCTAAAGGCTTTACCACATTCTCTGCATTTATAAGGCTTCTCTCCAGTATGAATTTTCAGATGTAGAGTAAGGTTTGAGGATTGGATAAAGGCTTTACCACATTCTCTGCATTTATAAGGCTTCTCTCCAGTATGAATTTTCTGATGTTGAGTAAGATTTGAAGAGTGGCAAAAGGCTTTACCACATTCAGTACATTTATAAGGCTTCTCTCCAGTATGAAGGTTCTGATGTTGGATAAGGGTTGAGGAGCGGCTAAAGGCTTTACCACATTCTCTACATTTATAAGGCTTCACTCCAGTATGAATTTTCTGATGTTGAGTAAGGGACGAAGAGTGGCTAAAGGTTTTACCACATTCTCTACATTTATAAGGCTTCTCTCCAGTATAAGTTTTCTGAGGTTGACTAAGGTTTGAAGAGCGGCAAAAGGCTTTATCACATTCTCTACATTTACAAGGCTTGTCTCCAGTATGAAGGTTCTGATGTTGAATAAGGGTTGAGGAGCGGCTAAATGCTTTACCACATTCTCTACATTTGTAAGTCTTTTCTGCAGTATATATGTTCTCATGTAGTATAACACCTGGAGGCCAATTATATGTTTTACCACATCCTTTCCATTTTTGTTTTTCACCAGTACAGATTTTCTTAACTCTATTTAGATTAAGTACTTTACTAAACACTTTTTCACAGGGTAAGCATTTGTAAACATTCCCCCCAATAGGAATATTCTTTTGTTCGGTACTATTTGAAGATTCCTTAAGTAATCTGACACATTTACTTTGTTTGTCTGTCTTCTCCACAATAGGAATAACCTGATGTGTAATATGATTTGACATTTGATCAAAGATGTTTCCACCTTCATAATGGTTCTCTGGAAGATGAGTATTCTGATGTTTATTAGGATTTGACTTGTGGTTAAAAATTTTCCAGTCTTCATTGCATTGATAACTTCTGTCTTCATTATACATACTCTGGTAATCATTGAAGATAAAGAGGACTTTAATGACACCTATAAAATAACCATTCTGTGATCCCTATTAAACCATGTTGGTTATATTAGAAATCACTCCCAAGTTCATGAAAATTTTATACCGAAAGACAAGAAAACATTATTTCTCAATGAAGTATAGTGCCATTTTTGCTGCATATAATGTGTACTTTTTTGCCCAAATTTTTTAGCAAAAAATAAGGATGTACATTTACATGGGTAGTACCTGAAATACCTTGTACCTGTTCTTGTGTTTTGTAATTATTTGTTAAATAACATTTCTTGTACCATAATATGTTAAAAAAATAAATGCTAAAATTTCTTTGTGATACAAAAAATGAGTATCTAAATATACATAAATAAATAATTGGATTAAAAAATTAAAACAGAAGATTTTTTTCCTTGACAATTTGAGCCCAAAAGGCGGGTGTGCATTATACAAGGGAGTGCTTTATGCACGGCAAAATATGTTAATTCCTTAATAAAGGGATTGCCAAATTCATCACATTTAAATTTGGTATGTGCATTAGAATTCACTAAATTTTACAAATTATTGACTGGAAGTTTAATCACACCCTTTATTTTAGATAATGCAAATGATTATTCATATCACGAATTATGAGAGTATATTTTTCCAGACTGCCTTTAGAAGAATATATACACTTAGAAAATTGCTTTCAGTCTCCACATTGGGAAACACATTAATTTGCAAATATAACTAACAATAGGGAGTTTTCCTAAATGTGTTCTATTTTTCACTTCTTTGGGTAACAAGGATTTTATTATGAATAATTATCCTAGTTAAGTTCCGTGCATTTTAACACCCTTTTTTCTTGTCATCCACTTTCTTATCAGGCTTTCATTACATTATGAAAGACACATATTTCTTATCTTACCAGTATTACTTTAGAGAATAAATCTTCTATTCCTGGCTTTTGCAACAAGGCCTGACAGTCTTCAGATGACAAAGCTGAAAGATACAAAGTTAAAGGATAACAAGTATGACAGATAAATTTACATTGTAATTATAAGCAATTATTGAATAAATTGCATTTTTGAGTATTTTGTAAAATGTTCAAAGCAAGACCAAAAAAGGTACAATGAGAAAAAGTTACATCAGCCCTGGCTGGTGTGACTCAGTGGATTGAGTGCAGGCCTGTGAACCAAAAGGTCATGGGTTCAATTCCCAGTCAGGGCACATGCCTGGTTTCTGGCCAGGTCCCCATTTGGGTGCATGTGAGAGGCAACTGATAGATATTTCTCTCCCTCTCTTTCTCCCTTCCTTCCCCTATCTCTCAAAATAAATAAATAATTTTTTTAAAGTTACATCAAAAAGGAAGAAACAGTTGCTTACATTTGGCAACAATACTGCTCAAAAACGCTGAAGATTTTCTCATCTTTAGACCAGCCCTATGAAAAATGAGTAAGAAAAATTTTCTAGATGTAATAAGTATAATTGTAAACTACACTAAACCATATAAACATAAAATTTTTGTAAATGTAAAAATATATACAAATACAATAATCAGAAATGGTCTAATGATCAAATACAAATCACTTTGATATTTTCTAAATAACTTTCAAAAATACAAACCTTAAAATCTTACATCTATTTTTAAGATGTACAACATAAAAGATATAAAGTGGTACCAATAATGTAAGTAGGTATAGGGATAGAAACGGCAAGTATAGAGAGTTTTTGTATGCATCTGATACTATGAACTTAAAATGTATTGTTATAGCTATAAAATGTTTTTAGTACGCCCCCATGGTAACGAGAAAAAAATAAGAAAATGATCTCAGTTAACAGATGACAAAACTGTATACTACAAAATCATACAGAATCCACACTAAAAAAAAAGACAAATGAAACGAATATTTTGAAATGCAAAATATAAAACCAACCCATGAAGTTAGTTGTTTTTATGCAGTAACAGAAATGTATACAAAAAAAGTTAAGAATGTAATTACAAAATCAATGGTATAAAACATAATGAAATATTTAGGACTTCTCCATGAAAAAACATGCATGACTTTTATGATTAAGATTGTAAAATATTGCTGGTTGCAATTTTTAAAAAAATCAGTAAATGAAAAATTATCAGGCTGCTTGAAAATCAACTGCCATCATGAATGAGGCAGACATTATCTTGAGTAGGATGTTCATGACCAATAGACTTCTTCACCAGAAATACATGGTCATTAACATCCTTCACCTTGCTAAGGCAACAGAATGCAAAAAACAAATTCAAGAAAAACTAGCCAAAATGCATACGGCCACACCAGATGGACCTTTTTGTTTGGATTCAGAACCCATTTTGGTGGTGGCAAGACACTGGCTTTGTCATGATTTATGATTCCATAAATCATACAAAGAAAAAACCCCAAACATAAGACTTGTATGATGAGTCATATGAAAAGACAACCTCAGGAAAAGAGAGAGAAATGCAAGAACACGATGAACAAAGGGTGACTGCCAAGGCCAGTGTTGGTGCTGGCAAAAAGAAGTAGTAAATAATCTTTAAGGACTTTATCAGCGGTGATTATGCAGATTTTTCATGACAGGATTAATAAACTAATAACCGAAAAACTTTTGTCCCATGATCCTAAATAGGAATGATAATAGTATAAGGCCTTAGTCGTACCCAACGTGACCTAAACATTCCACGAGTTCTTTATCATCCCTAGCTGGTGTGGCTCAGTGGACTGAGCGCAGGTCTGCAAACCCAAAGGTCACCACTTCTATACCCAGTTGGGGAACATGCCTGGTTCTAGGGTTCAACCCAGGTTGGGGCACATACAAGAAGCAACCATTGATGTTTCTTTCTCACATCAGTGTTTCTTGTCTTCTCTTTCTCCCTTCTCCTCTCTCTAAAAGTGAATAAATAAAATGTTTATAAAAAAATTAATATAGAATGATACAGGACACCATGCAACCAACATAATTGTAAAATGAAAGTGTGCAGTTAAGGGCATCATGCTTTCTGAATTTAAAACGTCAAAGCTGCTGTCATCAAAAAAGTGTAATACAAACATTAAGACAGATATAAATAATGAAGCACAGTGGACTTTTTAAAAAAGCCTACATACAACATCTTCTGGATGAGGTCAAATGACCTTCAACAAGGGTGCTTATACTACAAAAATAGAAAAGGATATTCTTGTTCTGACTGAGCAGCTCAGTTTGTTAGACTGTCCCGATGTGCCAGAGTGGTTGGTTTGATCTTCAGTCAGGTCACATACAAAAAAGCAACCAATGAATACAAAAATAAGTGGAACAACAAGTCAATGTTTGTCTCTATCTTCCTTATTCTCTTTCTGTAATCAATAAAAAATAAAGTATACAATATTTCTGGCTGTAATACCACAAAATAAGAAAAAGGGTATTCTCATAAAGAATGTTGATAAAGTTAGATGTCCTCATGTAAAAAAAGGAGTGAAGTTGAACCCTTTACTAAAATAGAAGTATACAAATATTAAATCAGAATGGAGAAAAGATTTAAACATAAAACTAACAACTTAATCTACTAAACAAAAAGGCATGGAAAAAATCTTATGACTTTTTTCCCATTATAACACTAAAAGAAAAGGTAAACAAAGCAAATAATAGACAAATGAGATCACACTATATTTAAAAACTCCTGCATATTAAGGCAAATAACCAGTGAGTTAAAAACACACCCTGTGGAATGGAAGAAAATCTACAAAATATATATGATAAGTCTTTAATATTCAGAATATATAAAGAACTTTTACAAAATAACATGATAAGACATGTTAACACAATTTTTAAAATAGCCAAAGATATATAGTTAACAAATATATAAGAAAAAAGTCAGGATAATAAATGGTGCAACAAAACAAAGCAAAACACTGAACCAATACACACACAAAAATAAAACTATACCACTTTTTAATGCCATGTACAAAAATAAACTCCAAATGGATTAAAAATTAAAATATAAGACCCCATGAACCCATGAAAAAACTAGAAGAAAGGACAGCTGATAAACTCTTAACATTAAAATTTTTTGGAGTATAACTTGGTAGGCATAGGAAACTAGAGAAAAAAATAATAAACAAATGAGACTACAACAAAGTAAGTTTTCACACAGCAAAGGAAACCATCAAGAAAACAAACAGCCCTGGCTGGTGTGGCTCAGTGGATTGATCTCAGCCAGTGAACCAGAAGATTGCAGGTTTCATTCCGACTCAGGGCACATGCCTGGGCCATGGGCATGTCACTGGTTGGGGGTGTGCAAGAGACAACCAACTGATATATCTCTCACACATCTCTGCCTTTCTCCCTCCCTACCCCTCTCTCTGAAAATAAAATCTTTTTTAAAAATCCAACAAAAAGGTCAATCTACTGAATAGGGGAAGGTATCCACCAATGATGCTAAATATCCAAAATATATAAGGGACTTATATAACCTAACACCAAAACAAACCCCAAACAAACAATCTGATAGAAGAATGGGCAGTGGACTTGAATAGATATTTCTGTAAACAGCACATAAAGATGGCCAACAGATGTATGAAAAGATTACTGAATATAAAATAAAAATAACTTTTCTAAGTCAAATTCTTGACCAACTTGGTTTTTTAATCCATAGTATTAAGATTTAAATTTCCATGTCTCAAATCAAACAATAAGGAAACAAACCAACAAAAGTGATCAAGACAAAAAAAGCAACAACCTGAGAAAAAAATATTTGTAAAAAACAACACTTACAGGACTATTACACAAAACATACAAAGATGTTTTCAAACCCAACAGTGACAAAAAAACAAACCTTACTAAAAAGGGACAAACACCTTAACAGAAAGCACACTAAAAAAGATATATACATTAAAAACTACTTTCTAAAAGGACCCACACACCTTATATTACTTAGGAAATGTATATTAAAATAATGAAAATTATACAAGCAGCACTTTCAAACAACACTAAACCCCTATTGGGAAGGTCAGAATCCAGAACATGAAGAGCAGCAAATGCTGCTGTCGGTGTGGAGCAACAGGAATGCTCATTCAATTCTGTTAAAAATGCAAAATGCTACAGCCCCTTAGGAAGAAACTTTGAGGGTTCGCACAAAACTAAAAATAAGGAAGTGAGCTTCGTAGAGGCAGGCAAACAAAAAAACTGGGACAACTGTAATAGCATAAATAAAATATTTTTTTAAAAAGACCTAAACATACATTTATTATATAATCCAGTAATTGTGATGCTTAATATTTAACCAAAAAGCTAAAAAGCCTATACTAAAGCCTAAAGGGGAATATTTATAGAAGCTTCCCTTATAATTTCCAACAACTGGAAGCAATGAATGTCTCGACAGGTTAATAGATAAGTAAACTGAAATACATACAATGAAATATTTTTCAGCGCTACACAGATATAATACATCAAACCATAAGAAGAATTGGAAGAAACCTAGACAGCATGAAGAGAAACAATTTGATCTGCCTGACCAGGTACTCAGTTGCTTAGAGCATCATCCAGATACACCAGGGTTGTGGGTTCCATCTGGGTGGGGCACATACAAGATTCAACCAATGAATGCATAAATAAATGAAACAACAAATCAATCTCTCTCTCTCTCCCCGCAACCTTGCCCCCCCTTCCTTACTCCTTTCCCCCATCCTGTTTCTAAAAACTCAATAAATGAAATTAAAAATACAAGAATCCAATTACAAAAGGCTACAAACTGTAGGATAACAACTACATGACATTCTAGAAAAAAACAAAAAGAAACAGGAAAGCCGTCAATGGTTCCAAGAATAAGGGGGATATAGGGATAAATAGGCAGAGCACTGAGAACAACACTTAGGGCTGAGAAACAAGTCTGTATGACAGTATAATGGTGGATACGTGTCATCATAAATTGTCCAAACCCATAGAACATACAAGCCACCAGTGAAGCCTCATGTCAACTAACACTTTGGGTGATAACGATGGGGCAATGTAGGTTCATACACATCACAAATGTACCACTCTGGTGGGGACATAGACAAGGAGTAGGGTATGCATGTAGAAAGCAAGAAGAGTCTCCGAATTCTCATTAACTCCTACACAATTTTGCTGTGAACCTAAAACTGCCCTTTGAAAAAGTCCTTCACAGTCGCCTTCTCTGAAGTACCTGTACTCAGGTCAATACATCTTTGCTATGGTCTTTATGTACATCCAAGAAACAAATGTTTGCATTCTCCACTGAAACACATACACATACAATATATCACTTCGCAACAGTTACAATGACCTGTATCAAAGGAACAATATCGAGTGTTTCCAAAAATGAGGAGAGAGTAGACACAGATGAATGAAAGTTAAATTGGTGCAAAATGTATGAGTAGCAAAAATGGTTCTGTTGAAGAATTAAAAGTAGAATTGTTTGGTCATTCGGCCCTTCATTTCCAGGTATTTACCAAAAAGAATTCAAAAGAGGATATGCAAGAGACATGTGCACACCTGTGTCAACTCTAGTATTGTTCACAAAAACCTGTGCAAGTGAAAGCAAGCCATGTCTGTGAATAAATAAATTAAAAATATGGTACATAACTACAATAGAATACCACTTTGCAGGAAATAGGAAAAAAAAGTCTTATCACCTGGTACCACAAAGACAAATAGTGAGGACATTTTCCTTAAATGAAGCATATGAGTCACAAAAAGACAGACATTATACAATTCCACTTAGGTGGATAATCTCATGAAGTCCACTGCATAGGGGAAAAAGAAAAGGTAGTTCTCTGGACCTTGGTTTCTACACCAGAGAGCCTCCAATTCCTCCTTGGAGACCAAGAATCTGAGAGGCTACCATACAAAGCAGAAGCCCCCAAAAGATGTTAAACTGATACAGAAAATGAAACCCTGCAGGTGGAGTAGGAGCTCTGAAAGGAACTCACATTGACCCAGGGAGACCAGGTTCCTATAGTTCTCCAACATCACATCCATGTACAATTTCCGCTGAGCTGGGTCCAGGCACTCCAACTCCTCCTGAGAGAAATCTACAGCCACATCTCTGAAGGTCAATGATCCCTGAAAAAAAAGGACACATTTACATTGGAGCCATAGGCCTACTTCATACTGTCATCCAACATGAAAGTGTTAGGAAAAGTAGTTTTGACCTCGGAGAGTATCCCGAACTATCTCATAAAATCAAACTGACCCAGTAACATTCTCTGCTTTTTAACACTGAGAAATGAGGATGACACATGTCCACAAATCCACTGCAGACACTGTTCTTTTCATGAAAATAAATTTTAAAATGAAGGAATAGACACAGGTATATGGATTGTTGAGTGCTGATTTTTATCCTCACGATCAATTGTGCATATGTCTCAGCTGGAAAAGGCATGGCGAGGTGAAAGTGTAGGTACTACTTCACATTTAATTTAGACAACAAAGACCTGTAGATTTGTAAAAGTGCAGATTCTGATTCAGAAATTCTGGGATGGGGCCTGTGTTTTCACATCTTTAATAAGCTGACTTTTTACTAGTGGCAGGAACATCTCTGGTCATGTGCCATACTTCTGAATGGCACAAAAAAGAAAACAATATATTTGATACATGACATTGAGCCGAAGGACTTTTATAAAATGCACAGTTCTAAAAAAAATGAGAAACACAGCAGCCACAATTTTATTTGAAAATTTTATATACGAAATCTTAGAACAAGATCATTCTTCCTGTATCATGAGACTATTTCCTGAAACATAAAGGTTAGAGCTTGACTTTTACTCCAACTTGATCTATTTTTTTAAAAACACAGGCAAATGCACATCGAGAGACCTCATGAATGTTCATTGCAGTTTCTGTAAGTGAGAAGAATGAAAATACCTTAAGTGTACACTGAATAACTCAAATGTTAACATTTTATGCAGACAGAGAGACATACATATGGGTACTAGGTACATATGAAATATGATAGAAAATGGAATTTTGATGTCAATGATAATAAGATTATTTTGAAATTCTGTAAATCTCGTAAATCTACTGCTACTCATGGATGATACCCTTTGTGTTTTATAAACACAAAAGGTTGAGGAAAACACATGATGCTAAAAAAGAAGTTAAAGCTAGAGATAGTTCTTTTCTTTCTCTTAATACTTCTGGGTATCATTAGAGTAATATTTTAGAAATTTAACTGAACTCAACCAAGATTAATATGATTCTTGTAAACTCCTGAAAATAGGAAAAATGATAATGTAAAGTTAGTCTGTGATGCGTGGAATATAACGAAAACTTACAGGAAGGATTGATTAATTAGATCCTCCCCATCAGAGGCCAATAATCTCTAGAAAATGAAGGATGGGCCCTCATTTCCCAAAGGACACAGAAGCTAAGAAAATGAGGGGAGTTTCCCGAGGAAATGTGATGGTTTGGGCAAATCTCTCAATAATTCCCTGCCAGACCCTCCTTAATGATGAAGGGAAGTTCTTCACTACATTGTGAAGAGCACCTTAGCCAGCTGACTATCAGGTGGACTGGAAGAATGGTTATCAGGTGAATGCGGCACACGGAAGAACATGTCACTACTGTGACATTACGGGCAAGAATACATACTTAAGTCATTATGTGAAAATGATCATCAATAAACAATTTTTTTGTCTATGTCAATGTACATGTACCTTCCATGTTTTCTACACAAACACTCTAGTATGTTAAATACAAAGAATATTGCCCTGTCTGGTGTGGCTTGGTGAACTGAGTGCCAGCCTGATAACTGAGGGGTCATTGGTTCAATTCCCAACAAGGGCACATGCCTGGGTTGTGGGCCAGGTCCCCAGTTGGGGACGTGTGAGATGCAACTGTTCAATGTATCTCTCACACATTGCTGTTTCTCTCCATCTCTTTCTCCCTCCCTTCTCCTCTCTCTAAAAGTAATAAAACCTTTAAATATAAAGGAATTTCTACTAAAGTAGTAAGCAGATCGGTTCTATCTACACTTCTTTGTCAGAACTTTCTGAGCTATCCTGACCAGTGACATGTTCATTTTCTTACCCCAGGTCCACGGAGCTGATGCTGCAGCCACATGAACCTAAAACCTGTATTTCCCTTCTTTTCCAGTACCAGAGCCTATGAGCCCATCCCAACAGAGACGTAGACATCGGTGCCTTCCCCGGTTGATCTGTCACACAGGGGATGTGTTCAGTAGTTGAAGATCATTAATTCAGGGTGGGAATTCCAGTCTTTGGGGAAACTGGATAAAGAGATTGCTGAAAAGCCTATATTACAACGGACAGAAGTACATAAACTGCTGACCTTGACAGTCATAAGAAAAGGAAAAAAATAAGTAGGTAAAAACAAACTCACCAGGCAAGGACATTTAAGGGAGAAATAAAGGTAGCTGGTTCTTAATGCACTGGAAGGAAGAAAAGCAAGCACAGCCACTGACCCAGGACACATTGTTTACCTGAGAAGCAGCCATGTCCTCCTGGTCCTGCTCCTGCTCTGGGTTGCTTTCTCCTGGGATGATAGGCTGAGGAGTTACGTCTGCATTTTCAGGATGTGCCTTCAAAGGCCTCAGCACAGCCCCTTAACCTGCTTCCACCACACTCACAGGCAAAAGAACCTGGAAATGATGAAATGGCCATTTGCACCTGTCCTTTGTCACAGGCAAGTCAGGAACAAAGAGCTCCTACATGGAGACCACATGCTGTGAGTTTTTCCTCCTTTTCAGGTGCTCTTTCCTCCCATGGACATCCAAAAACTCCTATGAGAACGTGCGATGCTCTCCTGAATCCCAAACCCAGCAGAGCACCCTGTAACCTGCTCTGACCAAAGCCTGCTTCTCACTCTGACTTACGCATCTGGGCATGACTTTCCCTTCCCCTTCTGTTTCCCTCCCTCCCCACAGATAACCTATACCTTCCTTTCTCCTAAGCGCCAAGGGTCCTTCTTATGACTCTGTCCCTTGTTCCCTGACCCGACTTCTACTGTGTGTCGTGACTTACTAAGTCAAATATTTTTATAAAAAATAAATAAATGCATGCTGAGACTAACTAAAACATTAAAAAAAAAAAAAATGAATGCTGTGCCCTAGTGACTCTGTTGGTTGCAGCAGCATCCTGGACACAGAAAACCTTGTGAGTTTGATTCCAGATCAGAGACTTAGGCTAGATGCAGCTTAGATCCCTGGTCCAGGCACATGCAGGAGGAAGCCCATTGATGTTTCTTTTTAACATCAATGTTTCTCTCTCTCTCTCTCTCTCTCTCCCCCTCCTCCCCGTCCCCCCCCCCATCAATAAGGATATCCTGGGAACAGGATTGAAAAAAGAAAAATGCATCCCAAAGCTTTCCTGCTAATCCCTCAACACACCTTAGTGTCTCCTGGAGAACTTCACTGAACAATGATGCTCCATCCAGAGAAGTTGCCTAACTCCGTGGAGGATGACACACCTGATGCCATTTGTCAGAACTTCTCAGGTGATTTAACATCACTCTGAAGGGAAACAGTGTAGCTTTAAAAAGCAAGCAGACCCAGAGGGAATGAGGGCACCACTCTAAGTTTCAATTCTGCCGGTCTCCAATGCAGCCATGAAGTGGCATCTCCATGCATTTCCCTCCTGGTGCCTGCGTGGCTCCCCCAGAGCTATTTTCTCTGTACCACTGGGACAGTTACCAGACCCATTGACACCACACCTCTGGGTACTGTGCGGACTTCAGGCAGAAACTTCTAAAGTGACAAGCTCCCTGGCAAAAATTTTTTCTTATTATCCAGGGAAAAACAAAGAGTTACATTAATAGCATGAATGGTAAATGCAGGTTTTGATACTGAAAATTTAAAAAAATATTAGCTATGAAAACATGTCCATCAAATTACACAATGAACATATGGGCTTTCTGAGAACCACGTTTCAGGTCAATTCAGTCCTTCCTTCAATATTTTGCAAAATGGACAAGAGGGACTTCAGGGTAACAGTTCCGTGTGGCTCACAGACACTAATTCAACAAATCACATAAATGCAAGAAAAAAGATGCTGGACATTAGATGAACTCATAAAAACAGGTCTAACTGTTAAGATTATAGACATCCTGCCCTGGCTGGTGTGGCTCAGTGGATTGAGCGCCGACCTGTGAACCAAGGGGTCACTGCTTCGATTCCCAGTCAGGGCACATGGCTGGGTTGAGGGCCAGGTCCCCAGCATGTGGGAGGCAACCACACATCCATGTTTCTTTCCCTCTCTTGTTAAATAAATAAATAAATAAATTTTTGGATAAAAAGATTATAGGCATCCTTACCAAGTGCCAACTGAAATAGCCTGATATTATTGACTAGGTACCAATGCATGTTCCAACACATTATAAACAGTACGAGGAATGCAGAGCTCAGATTTTAAACTAGGCACTATATATTTAACAGAAGAAGCATTGTGGAATTTTTTTAATGACTTCTATGGTCAAAGTTTAAAGACAGTTGAGACTACCTCGCATTTCGAAAGGAATGCTAAGTGCTGGTTAAGAAATATCCCCGATGCTTATTTCAGAAGTTAACGACTACCTACACAAGAGCATATATTCATAATATACGATTATCTCGATGTGTTTTTAAATAATAAATTTAATGTCAAAAATAAAAGGAAAAAAGTAAATCCATTGAGAAGAAAAAATAAAGACCCAATGCTTTTAACATTCCTGGAAAAGCCTCATGTGGTGACAGACTAATTCATTTCTTCTCCCGTCACCTCCCCCTTCCCATCCCAGGAAATGACAAGGGACCCCTGGCTGGCAGGCAAGGCTCTGCCCTCTGAGTGAATAAGGGTTGCAATTGGAAGCAAATAATTGTAAAATTCACAAGCCTTATAAACTGGACATTTGTAATCCTCATTCAAACCTGTTTAACTGTAACAACTCAGCAAATGTTAAACTAAATAGATTATTATTTAGTTTAACAGCCACAAGCCCACAAATCACATTCATCCACATCCGGGATCCCATTCTTCTCCTGCCACTCTGTATTTCTCTGTATGGATCTGTTTCTCTCTCTTCCGGGTTTCTCTGCACTCTTGTCCTTTCCTCGTTTTCCTCTCCCCACTTCCCCTGCGGTCTCTCCCTTTTTTCCTATTCCTCTACCTACACCTGTTCCCTGAAAAAACCGAAACCCCTTTCACCTTCGCTTGCTCTTCCTCCCTGATATTTCTGATTACTCTCAACTCCATACACTTCTCCGTCGCCCCCGCCCCCCGCCCATGCCTGCGTCCTGTCTGCGGCCCCTCTTACACTCTTCCCTGTCACCCCTGCCGGCTGACTCTCAGTGCTGTTAGTCCCTCTGATCCGTCACCTCCAACCCTCTTCATGCCCCTCGTCTCGCTCCCCGAACTCCACTCCTCAGAACCACTGCCTCCGTCTGAAGCGCCTCGCCCGTTGCTGCCCCCGCGTCCGCTCACAGGACCCTCTGCCTCTCAGCTCCCCCAGGCTCTCCGGGGCTCCTCCGTCTCCTCGGCATTTCTCGCGTCTTCCTGCTCCGGCTCCTTTCGTCCCTCCCACATCCCCGGCGCGGCCGTCTCTTAGGGCCCCTCGCGGACCTTTGCTCCCCGTCACGGGTCCGTCTCTCCCATTCCGGCTCCGGATCCCCTAGGAGCCCCGTTCCGCCGCTTTCCGGCCGCCCCTTCGACATCAGCGCTTCTACAAATCCCCTCCTGCGTGGGGAAGGTCACCTGCTGTAGGGACACCGTGTTCTCCCCTCCTGAGTCCCACCCCGTGGAAACTGTGCTCTCCTTGGATTCCAGTCTATTGTTAAATTGGGGGCGAGGGGTCTTCAGATCCCCAAGGCCCTGGTTAAATCGCGCTCCAGGGATGAAAGTGGCAAGAGGGGGGGGGGGGGGGGCGCAAGGGTTTGACTGCATCTCCCGAGACTTTAAAGGGCGTGGGGCGGGAGTGCTGCCCAGGGAAGGGTTTTCAGCAGGAAATCCTGACGGCAGGCGCCGTCCCTCCACCTGAAGGCGGAGAGACCGCGGGCCCGAAGGCCCCAAGTTTCCCAGAAACCACCGCGAAGCGTCTCACAGGGACGCCGGACTCACTGCTGGAGGCGGCTCGGGAGCGGGGATTTCAGCGTGTGTAGTGCCCGTCAGGCTTCACGTGCGTAGGAAGGACGAGTGAGAAAAATCGAATTTCAATCCGTAAAACCGAAACTTGGAAGGACCATGAGAACAATTCTATTGCAAGCCGCTATCACGTCAGAAAGAAACTGCGCGTGCTCCCTAGGTCAGCAGATGGGCGGAGTCAGAGTTGGAGCTCAGCGCCGCTGCAGTCAGACTGACACCCGAGCGGCGCGGTAGCTGGGAGGCGGGGTTGGGGAGGTTCGAAAAGGGCTAGTCGCGTGCAGAGATTCGAAAAGGGAAGGGCGGTCACAGTGCCATGGCCGGGGCTCTCCGTTCCAGCTAGCTCTCCTTGGTTATAGCCTTCCTTCTTCAGTGCTTTTCTATACCCACCCAGGTATTCCTAGCATTTGTAACATTCGTTTTCAAAATTCGTACTTTGGTGACCCTCCAACGATTACATTTCCCATATGATATTTGCCACCCCTTGTGACTCAGTCTTTCCCCTGGACTGTCACCTTCCTGAGTCTATAAAACGGCCCTGGGAGGGGAAAGGGAAGGTTCTAGGGGCAGCCTCTGAGCATAGTGCTGGGGACAGGAGGCTGAGCCTGAGAAATGGGCAGGCATGTGCAGTGACAATTAGGAAGTGAATGAGTACCTTGTATGGACGTGTTGGGAAGGAGCCTCCACTCTTCCACTTCCAGAAGCTTTGCTTTCAAAGTAATTTTCACGTTTAAAAATGCTGCTATAGTCCTGGCATGTGTGGCTTAGTGGCTTGAGTGCGGGCCTGTGACCCAAAGGGTCGCCAGTAGGAGTCCCAATCAGGGCACTTGCTTGGGTTGCAGGCCTGGCCCCCAGCGGGGGGCGCGCGAGATGCCACCACACACCGATGCTTCCCTCTTTTTCTCCCTCCCCGTCTCTCAATGTAAAGATAAATGAATAAAAATCTTTTTTAAAAAAATGCCGCTCTTGAATCTGGAAAACTTGGCATTCATTCTGCCCGACACCACCATCGCCAAGAAATAGAGACAGAGATTCAATCTTTATGGGAGTTTTATTCAGATGGTGGATTACATACACTAACAGACCATCTTACATTTCATTGTAAGCGAGCCTTTTTTATAAGGAGAAAAAAAGTGTAGGTAAGGGGTTTGAAATTGCGGGTGGAGGGAAATGCAGATAAAAAGTTTGGGATTAATGCTAAAGGTCACTGAGATAGAAGGTAAAGTCCAGCAATCTCTCTACCATCCTTTCATGTGTTGACAGGTGGTTCTTTTATTTTTAAAAAGATACTTATTTATTTTTAAAGATTGGGGAAAGGAGGGAGAATGGGAAAGAGAAACATCAAAGTGTGGTCACCTCACACCGGCCCCCAACTGGGGATCTGGCCCACAACCCAGGCATGTGCCCTGTCTGGGAATCAAACTGGCCATCTTTGCTTCCCAGGTTGACATTCAAACCACAGAGCCACACCAGCCAGGGGAGTAGTTGAAGGTCTTCAATTAAAGGCAGAATTCTTCACCTTGGACAGTGTAGATAAAGATAATGCAGAGAAGGCTCTGGGACAAAGGAGAAATGTATATAAACTGCTGATGCTGACAATCATAACAAGAAAAGGAATAAGTCCAGGAGAACAATCTCGCTGGACAAGATCATCAGAAGTAGGGAAGTAAAGGTTGCAAGTTCTAAATCCACTCATGTTAGGAGGAAAAGTAGTCATAGCCTTTGACCCAGGACACAATGTTTCCCTGAGGCGCAGCCATGTCATCCTAATCCTGCTCCTGCTCTGGGTGGTTTTCTCAGGCAATAACATGCTCAGTAGTCTAGTTGGCATTTTGAGGATGCATCTTCAAAGGCCTCAGCACAGCCCTTTTCTCTAATCCCTTCACCGTCACCAGCGGAAGGATGTGGAAATGCTGGAAGTGCCCCTCTCTCCTCTCTTTTGTCACAGAGTCAGGAGCAATAAGCTCCTACGTGGAGACCAAACTGTGACTTTTTTCTTTCTGCCTTCATGTTGATGGGGGACCTCAAGAGTTGGGATATTTAAGTTTTAGGTAATAGTTAATAAGCTTAGTATTTAAAGCATGTAAAAAACAGAACAAAACTATTGTTTCAGGAACTGAAGTTGTGACCCACCCTGACTCCAGGAGAGCAGGAGCAATTCCACTTTTGTGCCCCAAGAAATCAAGATGATATCTGAGCCGCCTGTGCTCAGATCACGAAGAAGGTTTATTCTAGCAGGATTGCTTTACCAGACCATCCTCTAGAAGAGGCAGACTGGACTCTATATGCAGATGGAAGCAGTTACATGGACAAAGGAAACAGAAAGGCTGGTTTTGCAGTAGTGAGTGTTGAAGGAGTAGTGGAGGCCAGCGCCTTGCCGCAGGAAACCTCTGCTCAGAAAGCTGAACTGATTGCATTGCGGAGGGCACTGAAAGTGTCACAGCAAAAGAGAGCGAATGGGTATGCCTACTCGTGGTACGTTTTCCTGATTGGGCATGCACATGGTTTCATCTGGAAGGGAAGAAGACTATTAACATCCAATAAAATGGAGATCAAGTATGCAGGTAAAATTAAAAATTTGTAGAATCTGTTCAGGTACCTTTAGAGGTGGCAGTCATGCACTGCCTGGGGCATCAGAAAGAGGACACTAATGTGGCTAGAGGAAACAATCTGGCTGATGGGGCAGTGAAAGAGGCTGCTAATTGAACCCTTATGATGCCTTTGTTACCTGTTGTAGACTTGTCACAATTTGACCTTAAGGATTCACTGCAGACTAAGAGAAATCTAAGAGCTGGGCTTTTGATGAAGGTCCTGATAGTAGTTGGAGAAAGAATAAGAAAGGAGTCACACTGCTTCCTGAACAACAGTAGATCCAGTCAGGAAGCATTTGCAGGAGGGAAGTCACTATGGAAGGGGCTCTTTAACAGCCTATATTAAACCACAGTTCACAGGTTCTGGAATTTCTAAAGCCGTAGGAAAATAATTGCTAGATGGGCAGTGTGCCAGAAGAACAGCCCCAAGACAGTGCTCCATCAAAAGAAAGCCCTGACCAGTGTGGCTCAGTGGGTTGGGCATCGTCTCACAAACTAAAGACTCACTAGTTTGATTCATAGTCAAGGCACATGCTTGGGTTGCAGGCCAGGTGTCCGATTAGGGACACGTGAGAGACAAGAGATCCATGTTTCTCTCCCTGTCTCCCTCTCTTCTATGTCTCAATAAATAAATAACATAACATAATAAATAAATAAAATCTTTTAAAAAGAAGAAAGGAAACAATACCAAGTACAGTGCCCATTCAAGAACTGGCAAATAGAATACACCCAGATACTCGGGGCCTGAGGGTTAGTCTTTGTCAGCACCTTTTCAGGATGGGTGGAAGTCTATCCTACTAGAACTGAGAAGTCCTCGGAGGTAGTAAAAGCCTTACCGAAGGAAATAATTCCTTGCTTTGGCCTACCCAGCAGCATCCAGGGTGATAATGGACCTGCTTTTGTTTCAGAAATCACACAGCAGATTAATAGCTTTTTAGGAAGCAAGTGGAGACTCGGCACAGCATGGAGACTTCAGGCTTCTGGGAAGGTAAAGAAGGCGAATCACTCCTTGAAGGAAAATGTAGCCAAACTAATTCAAGAAACTCATCTCCACTGAGATCGAGTTTTACTTATTGCCCTGCTCAGGATAAGGGTGACTCCTCGAAGTGGGATTCAATTGCATCCTTAGGAAATTGTGTACAGGCAACCATTTCAGCTTATGATTGGGGTGGGAGAGATGAATATAGATCAAGAAGTGAAGGTAAAGAAAAAGTACAACATTTAAGTCAGAACTTAGCTGTAATTAATGACCTTGCTTGGATTAGACACCTCTGCCTACAAGTTCCCTGCATTCCTTTGAGCCTGGAGGTAAGGCTCTACTTAACCCTTGGAAGATAACATCCCCAGAGAGCTTACTAGAAGAAAAGTGAACTGGACCTCAGGACATACTTCTCACCAGCCCAACCTCAGTGAAGTTAGAATGAATAAAACTTAAATTCATCACACCAGAGTAAAGAAAACACCAGGAGAACAATGGACTGCCCAACCACAAGACCTGAAAGTTGTCCTTTGAAAACAATGACATATGTTCTTTTCATTTTTGTTTAACCTTATTTCGTGGAGAATTTATTCCTTTCAAATTGAAACCAGAAAAGCCAGTGTGTGTGCTGCCTGTCACCTAGCAGACCCATTAAGCAGAGACAGGGATTTAATCTGTATGAGCGCTTTATTCAGATGGCCTGTGACCTGAGAAGATGGGCCGGGGGGCCGGGGGCAGGGTTTGTACCCTAACAGACTGTCTTAAATTCCATTTTAAACCTACCCTTTTTATAAGAAGAAGGAAAGTATAGGTAAGGGGTTTGGAATTCAGGGAAAAGTTTAATCAGAT